AAAAAAAAAAAAAAAAAAAAAAAAAAAAGGAAATTTAATTTTGAACAGTTAGGAAAAGGATCATATGTTTAAATATACATTTCAAGGATAACTATAATTTATTTTTTATATATATTTACATGGACATTTTAAAATGCTGAGATGATTTTTTTTTTAAAAGATTCAGAATCTCCAGTTTCTATATTTGTTATCATAGGGTCCATACAAATGCATGCCAATCTGTGTTCTTAATTTTGCATTGGACAAGCATGGCAATTTGCTTAACAGTTTATTAAATGTTAGATTTTTTTTTTTATTTTCTGCACTTTATAAAACATCTGAATAATATTGATGTTCTAATAAAGTGGACTTAGGGATTTCTCATATAAGATGCTAAGCACTACTCTAACTTCAAGTCCTATGGACTTCAGTGGTAGTTGTGGGCAGCTTGGAGGACAGTCAGCAGCCTGAAGGAATGCACTCCTGTATCTTACCCTTTTTTTCCGTTCCTTATGTTGCAACCTTTTATATATCTTGCTTTTTCTTTGTATATAACAAGTAATTAGACTTGGGCACATTATATAGTGTAGTTGTAAACCACTTATACACTGGGAAAAACTGAAGGGAAATGGAAAATTATACTAAACACTGTGCTTCACAACTGTACACTGTGTTGTTCTGCAGTGAGGTATTTCCTACTGTGATAGTATATTATGTATATAACCTGTTTGGAATCATAAATGTGACTTTTACCTAAGCATTTCCATTGATAAACTTTTAAATTGAACAGTGTATTTTATAAATTTATGCAGAGCACTTTTACTGCTCACATTGTGAATGACTAGGGACAATTAAGTGCTAAATAAGACTCCATTCTGCAAACATTTATGCATGTGAGTCATCCCATTGAAATCAATGAGATGAATTGTGTAAAGTTAAGTGTGTATGTGTGTGTGTAAACACACATTCATGCGTGCATACACATATTATACACATACACACATATACATGTATATGTATATATGTATATAATTCTTTGTTTGCATTACTGGAGTCTAATTGACTAAGAGGTTTTATTAACAGCTTGCTGCATTTTAAAGTAAAAATATTCCAAACCCTATGCAAAAAAGGTTATAGGAATTGTTTGTATTAATGGTTTTATTTATGAAATTATATCAGTTATCAGTATTGATAAATAAAATGCATTCATGTTTACAGGGATCATGTGTAACAAAACCAAGAGGCTTTGAAATGTAACATATTTGTTGTGTGTTGCTTTAATAATAATAATGACAGCATTTTGAGATTTGGGAATTGCAGATGTGAATTACATTACTACTTTCTCGACTTGAATGTCAACAGTAATTGCAGCATTAATTTCAGGTTGATGTGAATATTGAGATTTGCACTGTTATGTAGAGTTAGCATATTTAATCTTAAAGATCAGTGTAGATGATAGTAACTCAACCAATTTAAAGTGGCTGGTGTTGAAATACTGAAAAATAATGTTAATGTAGTATTTTATCCAGATTTGCTTTCTGAATTTTCTTGTTGGAAGCAATCTCAGAAGTTAACACGGTTCAGTTGGAGGAAAAAAATTACATTCTCTTTTCCCAGTAAACCTAGTGTAAACATGAAGAAACTGTAACTACAATTAAAACTTGTTCTGCAAACAGTACCGATGAATTGAGGTGCAGACTGTAATATTCAGTAAATTGCACTTTAAGGTATTTTCTCCATACAGTTTTTGTCATCTTTTAAACTGAAAACATGAAAAAATACTTGTGTTTTTTAACAAATTCTAAAAGGTTTTTAGATACAAAAAGTTTTGAAATGCAATGACCCTGCTGAATTTAACTTTGAAATTAAGGGTGCAATACAGTTACATTTGCTTGTTTGAAAAACTTAATGGCTTTTTATATTAAAAAAAACTTTATGGACATTGGGTACAATGGAATAAAAAATTAGCAGAAAAAAGAGAATGATTGGGCAAGACATTTAATGAATAGGGAAAGTGTAGTTATATTTTCTTTGTTTCCCAGCATGGGCAGTTTTTTTTAGAAGGCTTATTACACCAATTTTAGACTTTGATGGGACTCTAAAATTATCACAGCTCACAGGAATGGATAACATATCACTTGCACAAAAGAGAAATTTTCCTTCACACCTTTGTCTAATTTCCATTATTCCAGTATTCTACTAGTAATGTTTTGCCTAGCACCAGATTAATTTTTACCATGAGTAATTATACCTAGCTACACATAAAGACCCAGGGCCTGATGATCTATAGCTCTGTGCCTTGTGTAGTCATATATGCCAGTGTAAGGGACTATAAAATTCTGTCAACTGAGAATATTAGAATCTGTGTCTCATTTACCCTAGGACTGCTTTACACCACTCTTGCAATGTTAAAGAGCATTAAAATGGCCCATTTACACTATATCAATATGATGGAAAGAGATCTTAGTATTTACAGTAGCCTTTCATATTAAGTTTCTCAATTTTAAGTTAACTTGAGTTAGTTAAACATTTGTAAAATATAAGATGGCTTCTTCCCATGCATTTTTGCCTTACCCTATCCTGAACATCAGCAATGTGTGAACTCTAGATTTAAAAAAAAATGAATGAACAAGTTAATTCAAGACCAAAATGATAATCAGATTTAAACTGTTTTACACACACTGGTGTACACAAATATGCACACTAAGTTAGGTCCTGGATATCTATCTGTACTTTGTGCTCTTCCCCTTTTTAATACAGTAATTTCAGCCACATTTTTAAGAGGAAGAATGCTACATGTTCTTGAAAAATTCTGGTGTAACTGAAAAGAACAGCTCTCTATTAGTGTCAGATTATATGATATAGTCAACAATACTGGGGGGAAAAGCAAAAGTACAATTCTTTATCAGAATAGTCTAAGTAACTTTTTTTACTCCAATTAATGCAATTTAAGTAAATCAAAAAGTTTAATTAAATAGTAAACTAGTACTTGCCATTTTCTCTTTCTTACAAAGAACAAAGTACGTCTCATTTACAGGATTATTCCTTCCTAGAGGGTCAGAGTACTTCTCATGCTTATCTTATTTGTACAGTATTCCAAAACAGAATTTTATGATAGTTTATAATTATAAATTACTGTTCTGCAAGGCAGCATAAAGATTCAGTATTCGATCAGAACTGACTCAGGTTTTCCTGTCTCCCAGGTTGACACTGCTGTTGCACCTCTTTTCTCTGCCTTTTCTACTGCTGCCTTCTGAACAAAATAATTAGTTATACCACCACAGCCACATTCCCTTGTACTTCTTCCAGGAAGAGAGTAGTTTCTTAAAGGAACACATTCACATATACATTTTATAGGTGTGGTAAGGAAGCGTCGCTATATAATAATCTTATATTTTCAATCTTTAATAGCAAGTATGTATATATTTTATTTTTTTAATTAATTTTGGTCTTTATCTAGAATATTTTATTGTGGTGTTATGCCTTATGTATCATACCAGAGGTTTCAGCTTAGCCTTCCTTACAGTCTTTTTCTTACTTTACATGATTCCTTTCCTATTCTTCTCCTTCATATACCCCACCCCACAGCTGTCTGTCTATCTTGTCTTTATAGTGACCACTACTCCATAACCCTTCTTATAAGGAATCGCAATATTTGAATATTCTAGACAGAGGGAATGGAATATAGTATGGTTGCTTCTGTTCTGCAGAGACCAAAGTGCCTTGAACTCTGTGACCTTTCTGGCCAGGTACAGATATTACAAGTTTATTTGTATAAGTGATCAGAAAGTGGTCTATACCCATAATAGAACAGAAGTTCAGCACACAAACCCAGTCTGTATCTGTAACAGAACAGAAGTTTGGCACACAGACTGCTTTGAAAATGGCAGAACGCAGTCTAAGACTTCTGCCCTCCTTCTCCCAAGAAAGAGTGAATGTGTGGTCTGTTTGCTACCGATCTAAAGTACACCATTTACAGAAAACTGCAAAACTTGAATCAGTTCTGCCTCAGGCTGTTTGCTTGTCTGTACCTAGCCTCTGTCTGTGTCAACCTGTGAGAAATAGCTTCAGTTTACTTCAGTTTATTCCCCAGGCACCAGTCTGGAGTTGTTAAAAAAAATAACAACTGTAGAGCTCCATGGTAGTCTTCCCCTATCACCCTCCATTTTTATAAATCAGTCATTGCCTATTGACTCATCATTGATACTGATCCATCAAATAGAAACAGAGCCTTTGGAGTTGGTGCCTTTGCAGTCTGGATGTGGTGAATAAAGATAAGACTCTAAACTTTGTATAGCATGGGAAAGTATTTATTGCTTTTCAGCTGAATGTATTGTTTCATCTGTCTGTTCCTGTTTGGGAGTGTGATAGTTAAACCTGGGCAGCTGACCCCTGAAAGAAACAGGATTAAGTTACTGCAGTTTAT